ATTCTAGTCATTGTTCTGGGTACAGTTATAATTCTAATCATTGTTTTGGTTATTATTATAATTCTAGTCATTGTTCTGGGGATCGGTGGTGTTGGCTGGGCTGGTGTTGGACTCGTCCTCATCCACAGATGGGTGTTAGATCAGCCGATGTTGCTGTGATCACTCATCCGGTGATTTGGAGAAGCGTTGCTTTGATCAGTAGTTACCGTATTGTGAGATGTCATGATGACATTACAGAAGGCTTTAATTCTCCTGTTTTATTTAATGCCTCCTCAAATATTTGAGTCTTGTTGTAATTTATTTAATTTAGCTAATTAAGTGAATTAAGCCATTTTATGGCTGGAGAGAAAGAAAAGCTTCAGCAGGACTAGCAGAAATAAGTGATTGTGTGTGACTTCAGCTCGACTGTCCACATGTTGCTAACATCACTCCATTAATTACAATCACACACACACACACATCAGCAGACGGTGTTTGAGCAGATGGGCGGCTGTTAATGTGTTATCTGTTTACCAACCCATCGATCTGTGTGTGTGTGTGTGATGGAGTGTTGTGGTTTATTTTCATTTCTGATGGTGTAATTAGATCAGATTAATTTGAGATCATCATGTGTTGGCACTCATGATCACGCAGTGGCCGCACGTGTGCAGACTGACTGATTGATGAATAAATCAATGTCATGTGACACACCTCACACCTGCACCGCTTTAGTCTGAATGTGTGTGTGTGTTTCTCAGTGCTTTTGTTAAGATGATATCAATGGACTCTCAGTTCTTCTGTTCATAAATGTTCAGTAGACGTTTGCAGCAGTGTGTTCTGCTCTAGAGATTGTTTCTCATGAATAGTTTAAATTCTTGTCATCATTTAGTCTTCATCTCAGTCCCAGCCTGTGCGACTAAATGAACGTCCTAGTCGAAACTCTTCATTTAAGAACAGTGAAGCTTCAGCAGGATCGCAGAAGCATCATGAGAGTGTCAGAACGTCACACTGTTCCTGCTTCTGTGTTCCAGAGATGAAAGAGTCTCGCATGTGTTAGAAACATCATGAGAACACATGTTCATTCTGGTTCCTGTAAGGCTCATGTGTGTTTTTGTCTGCTGTCGTGTCTTTGTGGTGTGTTGTCATTCGTGGTCGAGAGAAGAGTTTTTTGTTCGGTATGTCAGTGTATCGGTTCAGGGTGTTGGTGTCTAAGTGCTTACGGGAGCAGTGTGTCTGCTCAGCTGCTTCTTGAAGGTTGTGATGGTCTCAGCGGTTCAGGTGGAGGTCAGCAGGAACAGAGATGATCGAGGGACTGCAGAGGGACTTCCTCGCTCATTTACTGACCTGAGCCGACAGGAGGAAGCGTTGACTGGTAGTAGTGACCACAGCTTCTTTTCCATCGTCCATCATTTTATTACATCCATGTACTATATTTCCATATTTAAGTCACAGTTTTTATTATCTGAAACGTGCAGAGACTTACATTCCAAAGCAGCTTATATAATGCAGTTAAGCGCACAAAACATTTGTTCTTGTGTTGAATGAGAGAGGAACATGAGCTTCAAGTTTATTTGTAAAGCACATTTCCCACAAACCAGTAGTTTCAGTTTCACTTTAAATAAATGTTTATAATAATGGCAGTATAATTTATTTTTGTTTTATACTTATACATTTAAATGTAAATATAAATTTAATACCTGGTCTGTTCTGAATAGTTACATTTAAAGGATTTGTTGTGGAGTTATGGGAACTAAAATATGTTTATAGTGTTTATGATGTTTGAAAATGTTTTGTTTTTCTTTGCCAATATTTTACATTATTTCTGAATGTAATAATAAAATGCGATAATAATAAAACATAATTTTTACCCATTGCGACTTATTTTCCGGATAATTCGGTATGTGGTTACAGACGTAAACAGTGAGTCGCTCTGAATCTCGCTGTCCTGTCCGAACACACACACACACGGTCCTCATCCATGTAATGTGCTCCTGAAATAGCCAAGTGAGCTGAAGCTGTAATCTGCGAAAAGCATCAATCAATCTCATTTCACTGATTACAGTGCGGTGTGAATGTCTGTGCATGTGTGTGTCTCATCTCATAAACAGGACTCTCTTATGCTAATTACAGTGATGTGAGTGGCTTCTGCAGAGGGGCGGAGCCTGAGTGTGTGTGTGTTTGTGAGGCCATCAACTGTATCGAGAGGTCTATTTTAATGGTTGCTATGGAAACAGAGTGGCCTAGAGAAGTGCAGATTCAGATATCTGAACTGTGTGTCAGTCTCTGCATCACAAATGCTTTCCTCTCCTCCATCGTGTGCTTTCTGTCACTCCGTCACATCCGTCTCTGAAGTGCAGCAGCATTCAGGACAGAATAACCTCCTCATTTAAAGGGTTAATCAACCCAAAAATCATTTACTTTCCCTAATGTCCATCCAAACCTGTATGACTGTCAAGTCAAGTCTCCTTTATTTATATAGTGCATTTAACAATACAGATTGTGTCAAAGCAACTTTACAGCATTAAATAGGAAAGTAGTGTGTCATTAATGCAAAATGACAATAGTAAACACTCAATTTGCAGTTAAAGGCAGTTCATCATTGAATTCAGTGATGTCATCATCCAGCTCAGTTCGACAGTGTTCTATGTTATTACATGCTGAGTTTTTAGGTCCGATAATTAACACCTTGTTTTTTTTCAGAATTTAGCAGTAAGAAATTACTCATCATCCCGTTTTTTATATCAACTATGCATTCCGTTAGTTTTTCAAATTGGTATGTTTCGCCGGGCCGCGAATAAATATAGAGCTGAGTATCATCAGCATAACAGTGAAAGCTAACACCGTGTTTCCTGATGATATCTCCCAAGGGTAACATGTAAAGCGTGAAAAGTAACGGCCCTAGTACTGAGCCTTGAGGTACTCCATACTGCACTTGTGATCGATATGATACCTCTTCATTCACTGCTACGAATTGATGGCAGTCAGATAAGTATGATTTGAACCATGCTAATGCACTTCCATTAATGCCAACAAAGTTTTCTAGTCTATTCAAAAGAATGTTGTGTTCAATAGTGTCGAACGCAGCGCTAAGATCCAGTAGCAGTAATAGAGAGATACAACCACAATCAGATGATAAGAGCAGGACATTTGTAACTCTAATGAGAGCAGTTTCAGTAAGACTGTAAGAATTGTAGAACCCAAAAGAAGACATATCGAAGAGCATTTGTGTTCAAACAACATTGGACCCCATTGACTGCCATTACATGGACAAAATCACAGACATTTTGTGTTTGACTGAAGAAAGTCAGTCATGTACACTGAACAAAATTATAAACGCAACACTTTTGTTTTTGCCCCCATTTTTCATGAATTTTGTTCAGTGTATGTGAGGAGTGAGATGAGTGAGACTAAATGATATCTGAGTCTAAGCGCTTCATCGCTCTATAATCACAGTCCATCTATCCGTCAGCAGCGATCATTACAGCGCTTGTGTAATGCGGCTCTGTGCGGTTGTACAGTGTGTAGGTGCCGGGTCGCCGCTCTCTCTGATCGTCAGGGGAGAGTTTATCTCATCCATAATAAACAGGCTGAAGATGCACGACGCTCCCATCAAATATTGATCTGCTGAGCATGAGCACGGCCGTCTGCTGCTGCACTATTCATGTGTGTCACAGACACCGCCGCTAACCGGACGCTTCTCAAACCATCAGTGAATGTCAGTCTCTCTCGCTTATGAAGAGACTTCAGTGTTTAGGGCTCACCCATAACAGGCGGAAGATGCACGACGCTCCCATCAAATATTGATCTGCTGAGCATGAGCACGGCCGTCTGCTGCTGCACTATTCATGTGTGTCACAGACACCGCCGCTAACCGGACGCTTCTCAAACCATCAGTGAATGTCAGTCTCTCTCGCTTATGAAGAGACTTCAGTGTTTAGGGCTCTTATCTGCTGACCTCTGTCCAAGGGCAGGTTAAAGGCTTCGATTTGTTGCTTTGAATTGTCTTTTATTGTCGTTTCATCTCGGTTGTTGTTCTTTTTTTCAAATCCTTTTTCATTCGTGCTGTTCCAGTGAAGTTTGAGATGAAGCTCCTCCAGTTTTTGGATCCCCTCCAGTGTGGAAACATTGCAGTTTTTCATTTATGTGCAGTGTTTTCCCCCAAATTTCTGATCTATTTAGAGTGCATTTGTTCTTCATGATTTTTATAAATAAATAAAATATAATAGAAATATTAAAATGTAGTTAATTTTTTTTCAGTATCATAATCATTACAATACATATGATTGATTATGATGCAGAATTAATCTAATAAATTTAACTAATGAAGTGTATAATTTGGCTATATTTGAATACAGTCATGTGTAAATGTTGGGTTGTTGAATTTTTTTAATAAATGCATTTATTGAATATTGATTAGTGGTTGTCAGATCGCTACGAATCTTGTAGCCTTATTTGCTCTTTTTTATTTATTTATTTATTTATTTTCGCTGTGAAGTCTTTAGGTTGTGGTGTGAAAATTTAAATTGGGTAAATATTTTGTTAATTTTGGGATAATCGTGTTTTCTGATGGTTTTGGTCATTTCATCTCTGTCTCTCTCGTTACGTTCAGTGTGAGTTTTTGGTCTGTGATGTTCAGTTTTGACAGGAACAGACTCTTTGGCCCAGAAACACTCAGCATTTGCAACATCTTTTGAAGTGGATTATATTAATATCAGTCTGTCAAATGAATGCTGTAAAACTGCTCGAATTTAATGGGCCACACAAGCGTTTCTCGCCGGTTCTCCTCTGAAACCCTCTGATCATTAGCACATGCTGTGCAATATTGTGAATTTCAGAATTCCAGGTGCTCGTTTACTGATTTCCTTTCACAATATTGTTTAACGAATGACATGTCAGAAAGATCCTCCCACTTTAGGAAATATAAAAACAATGGTGAGGTCATCTTTTTGCAAATATCTGCATTTAGACACTTGCTCATGAACGGATGTGCTGTAATCTCTGTCTGTCTGTTTATCTCGCAGGTTTTTTGCTCCTCCATCATGTCCGTCTGCATTTACCGTGGCTTAGCTCCACCCTCTCAGGCAAGGTGGGCGTGGCTTCATGTGTTGGCTCCGCTCCCGCGTCACTGGCCCTGCCCGTCGCTGCAGCAGCTGTTGGCCGTGTGTCTGCTGCTGCTGCTGCCGCCGCTGGCCATCCAATCACGGCGCGAGCGGGGCGGAGGGGGCGTGGCCCACTACATCCCATCATCGCTGGCGCAGTATCCGCCCATCTCCAAGTTGGTGCAGGGCCTGAGCATCGCGGTGGTGCTAGTGGGAAACTCCAGTGAGGTGGCGCTCGCCGGCACACGCGACAAAGACGACTTTGGCCACATGCCGCTGGCGCCCAACGTGGAGATGCTCACCATGAACGAGACGGACCCCAAGAGCATCATCAAGAGCATCTGCGACCTGATGACGGAGCACTGGCTGCAGGGCGTGGTGTTCGGAGACGACACCGATCAGGAGGCCATCGCGCAGATCCTGGATTTCATCTCCGCGCAGACGCACATCCCCATCCTGGGCGTGAAGGGAGGCTCCTCCATGATCATGGCCGCTAAGGTAAGGTGCATTCTGCAGAGATGCATGATGGGAAACTATGTATGTGTGTGTGTGTAAGGATGATGATGAGCCGCTGGAAGCGTCAGACACTGAGAGAAAATGATGGATGGCTGTGAGTCAGAGCTGCGCCCACGAGCTCTAAACGCTGCAAAATCACACCGCACTCGTCTCTCACTCTCCGCTAAACACGCCGATGAAGATGAAGATGAAGATGAAGAACCGCTGCTCGGCCCACGCGTCCTGCCTAGCGCTAACCACGCGCAACCTTCACAATGTCAAGCCATGAGCTTTACAGAGGAACTGGACGTTAAGTTCAGTGCTAGTCAGGTCACGCGTGTTAACTAGCACTTCATACAATACAGTTTTTTTTATTTTGCTTTTTGTTATTCAGAAAAATACAAAGAAAAACAAAGATGCAACGCACAAACAGCACAGAAGACATTTAAAAGAAAACTGAACAAATCACAGGACAAAGGAAAGAGACCAAATGGAAAAAAGCGCAATATAAATCTAAAAGTAGAGAATCGTTTAACAACAATAAAAAGAAGAATTGAGAGGGTTGAGCGGCTCCAGTCGCAGACTTTTTAATACTACAAAATGTTTTCATTTAAAGTCTTGACCAATATGTTATTTTCTCTAGGGATACAGATACAGAAAATGTTAGTATTAAAGGGGTCATATGATGCGATTTCAATTGTTCCTTTCTCTTTGGAGTGTTACAAGCTCTTGGTGCATAAAGAAGATCTGTAAAGTTGCAAAGACTAAAGTCTCAAATCCAAAGAGATATTCTTTATAAAAGTTAAGACTCGTCCACGCCTACCTAAAACGGCTCGTTCTAACACACCCCCACATA